AGGGAGCCCGATGCGGGACTCGATCCCGGGACTCCGGGATCATGACCTGAGCCGAAGGCAGTCGCTTAACCAACTGAGCCACCCAGGCGCCCTTGTTACTTCTTTTTCCTTGTGTTGTTTCAACAAATGCTGTCAAGAGAGAATCTGTACATAACCCGGACATGATCAGTTTATTTCGATTTCATTGACAAAATGGGTTAGACAGGCTGGCTATCTCACACCGCTTCAAAGGATTTGAAGTTACTTGGGGTGTAGCCCATGGTTACATAGCTTTGCCAACTCCTCTGCAAACACACCCTAAAAAAACAATCCTTATCTTAGGAAAGAAACATTTCTAGCAGAGTCTAGAACACCACTGTCCAACAGGAACATAATGGAAACACATGTAATTTCAAACTTTCTGATTTGGGGATAATAAAAGAGGAAAATTAATATCTCCTTTAGCTACCTCTCAAAGGGCAACCAATAAAACAATAGTTATGAAATTTTCATTCTATAAAGACTGGCTGTTACTATTACCAAATTCAACTAAAGCCTCAACTGATATTCCTGCTTACCCACTGTGTTGCAGTCATTCTTAGGGACTTTCATATCCATTAGTCTTTCCTTCATTCCTAACTGCCCCCAAACCCAACATAATAATTCTTCCTCTGCCAGCCCAGTGTCTCTCCTTACCATCCAAAGATGGTGCTCACCTTGACCAATGGTTTCCAAATGTCAGGACACTGACAAGTGCCAGTTGTAAAAAAGTTTTCACAGGTCCAAGACAAAATAATAATGATAGTAACAAAAACATCAGTTTTCTTCATAAAGGCATATTAAGTAAATCTAAATAATTTCTATTATTCTGAAATTATCTTTCTTTTCTTATTTATTTTTTTTTTTTGGTTAAAGTCTCCCCTCCCTTTTTTTAAAAATGAAAGGATGATTGATCGTGGGGGCGGGGGGGCAGTGGTGGTGATGATGGATAGACTTTCCTGTTGTTTTTGTTAATGCCCTTTATTAGCAAAATTTTTTTAAATGGTGATATTATATTTATCCCCTCAATCTAAAAAACTCGTATTAGGTCCATGAAGTCCACAATTCTATGCCCGAGTCCAGCAACTCTGGTGCCATGGGTTGAGAATAGGCCAGTGCTATGCTGTTGTTTAGCCAATTCCTTAATTAAGATGATTCATTGGCTCCTCATTTTTTTGCGGTTAATATCAAAATCCTTAAAATACTCATATAAGCAGCTTCTGATCTGGTTTCTGCCTCCCTTATTGGAGTCAATGTTGCCTAGTCCCCCACCCAATCCCACTCAAGCTTCTAGGCATGGAGGCCCTCCTTCATTTCCCCAAACAGTCAGACCACCTCTCTGTTCAGAGTCTTCACGCATGCACCCTCTGCCTGGAATACCCTCTCCCTGCCTCCCCCTCCAATAAGATATTTTCCCTACTTCACAGAGGGGCGATATTACAGCCTCCAGAGAGAAGTCATGTGGTTTTCCCAAAGTTAGTATCAGAGATAGGTCTAAAACCCAGATTTCCTGATGTTAGAATTGAGAGGGCTCCACAGAATCTCTCTGCCCAAGTAAGATTTTGATATTGGAGGAGTGGGTGGGGTGAGATGTAATGTGGAGAAAAGGAAGCAAATGAGGGACTGAAACGCAAGGACCCAGGAAGCACCAAGAAGCTAGCTGCTCCTGCCTCTTCTGAACTCCATCTCAAAGCTCACTCTCGTCAGGAGACAAAGTCATTAACAATTTTGCGTTGCCTTTGGTCGATTAAATGTCAATCTGGATAAATCCTTTGTGCCCTTAAAAGTGAACAAACAAAAACTATTTCTTCCCGAAAGTGACAGATGTCTCCTATTTATATATATTACAGTGCATATAAAATGCCCATTTTCTCCTTCCCTTCCACCTGCTACTTTCTGTAGAAGAATCCCCCTCACAAAGCAGGACCTTTCCAAGCCCGCTGCTGTGGACCACCAGCTCAGCTCTATGTGACACCAGCAACACCGTCTCTGTCAGCACAGTCCTTTGCTTAAATGGGCTGCCCCTTAGGAATGGGGGCATCCAGGGATCCAGGATACTCAGAGCCCCTGGGTGACGCACTCCCTGGGGAAGCTTCCTGAAAAACATCCCCCACCCTCCTGCCTATTTACAGCACTTACCTAAAGAATGTTTAAGCTTCATTTTTCATAATGGGTGTTGTGTTAGGAAAATCCCCCAGCAGCGTTTACTAATGATCAGGTAATGGGGCCCCAAACATGTTCCTTGGAGCACAAAGGGGATCTGGTTCAGTAGTTCTGAGTAGTTTGCTGTCACAGAAACAAAAAGGGCACTTGAAGGCCTTTCCATCAGACACTTGCCTATAAGAAATTATAAAACAAAGCCCAACCAATACAATAAAACCCCAAACAAAACTCCTGTCCCGGCTACTGCTCATATCTCTGATGGGGCTCGTTCTGGAATGACCCTCAGGAGGGAAGTCACTTGGAGTCAGAAGTGAGTGCTATGACTCATTGGTTTACGAAAACGGGAATAAACAGAAGGAAGCAAGTGCCTGAAGAAACAATAGGAAATATGAATGGTTTGTCTTCTGGAAAGTATGAGAACTGGTCCTCCGTTGGCAGGCGGGGAATCCTGCTTGATGATATGACATTGTTTTCCCAGAGCATGTTCTCCCGAGCACTTGGCATGACATCACGCACCTGCAGGGTTCCATTCTGCCAGGGGAGCTCCCCAGCCCTTCTTGATCTCTCCTCCAGAGAACCAACCATGAGAAGGAGAACGGAGGGGAGGCCAAAGAAAATACCATGCTGACCGGATTCCTAGCAAATGATCCTGGGTTCAAGCAGAGAGGAATCTAACGCCAAACTGACAGGAAAGGATCCATGCATTTCTTTAGCTATGCAATGCCTTGTTCACAAATGGCAACAAAATTAAACAAGGATGAGGGTTAATGGGTATTTTATTTTTTTAAGATTTTATTTATTTATTTATTTGACAGAGAGAGAGAGAGAGAGAGCACAAACAGGAGAAGCAACAGAGGCAGAGGGAGAAGCAGGCTCCCTGCCAAGCAGGGAGCCCGACAGGGGACTGGATCCCAGGACCCTGGGATCATGACCTGAGCCCAAGGCAGCCGCTTAATCGACTGAGCCACCCAAGTACCCAGTTAATGGCTATTTTAGTGAAGAGGAAAAAAAAATAGAAAAGGGGGCTGGGACAAGAGGCCACTGGTTGAGAAACCATACAGGATTTCTCTTCTACTAAAAATTGGGCATGTTGGCAGGGAATGAAGCAGTTTAATTAGAAGTTACAGCTGACCCTACTTGCCCACCTTAACGAACGGCCCCAGTAGGGTGATAAACCCTTTGAACTGTGGCTAAGTACCAGTACTGTTTACTTTGAGGAAGGAAGTTGTCAGTTCTATTTGTGCGCAATGAGCCAACCACAATGTGTCTGATGGATTTGGGGTTAGTGCAAGAGGGGCACATCCAGTGTGGGAAACAAGGTTTATCATGGGATTAGACTTAGGAAGACAAAAGTAATCAAGAGGTTGCCAGTGGGTACTGTTTGCCGTGGAACTCCAGGCACAGAGTTGTTTTTCTTGCAAGGTAACCCCACCTCCTGGGCATGTGAGTGGGAAGGGGAGCCAAGACCCCCCAAAATACTAATTCTATAATTCACCACTTTTAAGAAATGTAAATCCCCACCCCCAATCCAACATTGTAGATGGGGATTTCTTTCTTCTTGCCACAAATCCTATTCCATTCTAACGGAGAGCAACACCCAAGCTTCGTGATCATGAGGGACTAATCATCAGTGTGGGAGAGTTCCATTTTATCAAGGAATTCCTGTTGAAAATGTTTGCAGTGTTGACAACAACGGGCATGGGCAGCAGTTTTTGAGAGTATACTCTTTCTGTTCCTGAGAGTAAATAGTAAGGTAAGCATGTAGGTCAAGGGATAAAACAAAGGGAGCTCTCCGGGGCCAAGTCTAAATGTGTGTGGACTCAAGATCGGGTAAAGTTCTTTCCAGAGATTTCTGTGACACAAGCATATGCAATTTGAAAAATGAAGAGTTTCACTTAAGGCTAAACACACTTGAGTCACCGGCCAGTATTGCTGCAAAAAGAAAAAAGAAAAAAAAGCAGAATTCAAGGAAGAGGCTGGAAATGTCCTTTACTTGAAAAACATTATCTCATCTAGTCCATGAAATCCCATGCTCTCGAAAGAGTTCAGTGGCTTCAAAGTTGCTGACAAATTGACAAACTATGACAGTTGTAATGACTTACTCTACTCTCAGGAAATGTTTGGACTTTGATATTACCATTTTCTGGAGACCACAAATGGACCTGCTCTGGCTTCACCTTACCAGTAAGCAAGACAGGCTACTCCTTTATCTTAAGCAGATTCTTGAATATTCTGTGGGGGAAACTTTGTTGTGCCTTAGCTCCATTTTGTTCAGCTTTTTTGTTTGTTTGTTCGTTTGTTTTTTAATGTCTGCCTCTTTCTATAAAGATAAAAAATTTCATACTTTTCCTCTGCTAAGATTTCCATATTCCACTCTGTTGGGATTATGTCCCAAAGGTGAAGAATCACTTTTTCACACTCTCACAGCCAAGAAAACTTTGTAAAGGTTTATTTTGTGCTCTTTGTGCTATGAAAACAATATTTTTTTTCTGCTCTTTTCAAATAAGAGATTGTGCATTAAGAGTAAATGCTTTTCCAAACCATCTTCAAATGGAATATTTTGATATGGCACCATTACCCACGGTACTACCCAATCCAATTTGGGAAATCTTCCCCAGATTGCTGCTTTTCCAAAGGCACTCACACTTGATAAGGATAATCTTTAGGGCTCTAACCATACTTCGTAAATATTCACATTCATGGAGGGTGGCAAGGAATCACAAATGATTGATTTTGGTGTTGATCTGAGAGAGCTTGAGCAACACAACTGTAGTTTTTTTTTGTTTTGTTTTTTGTTTTCTCTTGGGGGCATTTTATTTATGTATTTTAATTATACTATGGAGATTCCCTATCTGGGGTCCTTGAATCCCAAACATATTAATGAGAATTCGATGACTCTTTCCAATAGGTGAAAGACCCTCTTAGAAATAGTTGTGTTGCTTTTGAAGAAGGCATATAATGTAACTCAAACCATTTACCATAGTATTAAACAAATCAGTTTACTATTTCTTCTTGTCATTTGCTGTTTGCCCAGCACTGTTGGCTCTCATTGCACATTCAATTTTATTTGCTTCGAATAATACAAATGAGGAAATGAATTATTACTTCCTACAAATAAATTTTAAAAGCTTCCACAAAGGTTCAGCAACTTAGAGGTCCTTGAACAAAGAATGGCCCTCTTATCTCTGGGAATTTGGTGTCTAGGACCAAGCTTTACACTGAAGAGGTAACACCATTGAAGGGGTAAGACACAAAGGTGATCCTCCATGCCCTGTCCCTGACCCAGGCTGTCAGGTCAGATAACTCAGTTCTGGAGTTCAATGGGACAAAAGATGAAGCTTATTTAATCAGATGGATAAAATTCTTTCAAAAATTGGAGCTGGTTAGACGTCATCTAAGGAGTGCTTATAGTGAAAAGGTGGGAATACCTGCTCTGGACCACTGGAGATGGTAATGGTGGGAAGAGGACAGGGAGTCACTCTCTTCATCTTAGTGCACCCAACACCCAGCTGGACCTAAGAACCTCAAACAAAGTGGTTGAAGGAATGATTGGTCTATGGTGAGCCCATGATGCATGTGGGATGAATTCTCAGCATTTGCCCAAAAGATGAGAGTAGGAGAATCCCCATGCAAACCACTGTTGGCAGGAAAGAGAGGAGTGCTTCCAAGAAGGAGGAAGACCAGCTCTCTTCAGGACTCCAAGTCTGCACCTTCAAGAGCCAAGGGGAATCCACTGGAAACCTCAGAACCCTCCATGCTCCCACAGCCTCTCCCCCACTGTCTGATCTGACTTGGGACTCTCAGGAGTGATTTTAACACACCCCTGACTCCAGGGCATGTCAGAAACTCAGAACTCCCATGCTATCCCGATTCCCAGAGGCTAATTCCCATTGAGCTTATACAGAGCCTCCCCTGACCCTGCCTACCCCCCCTACTTCACCTCCCACCCCCGCCGCCATCTTGTGAAACCCTTTCACTGTACCTTCTGGTGCTTCCATTCAACCATCTGCAAACCTCTATATCAGCAAACTCTCCTCAGAAAACTTCCTTGGCCTCTTGCTCTGACAGAAACCTGGCTTTCCTTCCAAGCTCTGCTGAAGCTACAGCCTGCTCACTTGTGCCACTGGGCCTGGGGTAGCCCCTTTCCCCCAAACTTCCTGTTATTCATCTTACCGCCTGTTTATTTTCCTCATTCCCTTCACACTCTCACTTCTCTCCTTAACCCACTTTGATTCCACGATCACTCATTAAAACCACTCCCTTCCATTCATCTCCATTCCCTTGCCTCTCTCATATCCTCATCCTTGGCAAAATCATGAACCTGGTGAACCCAACCCTCCCACCATGGCATCCATGCAACTGGGCACACCTGGAGTGAATAAAACACACAGCTAAGCTAACTATTCTCTCATTGATTTAAAATCAATGATCACTAATACTGAGCACGACCGTCACGTTGTCACTTGCACAGATTCCCACCACGTGCACCCACAAAGCAGCACCTTCTCCCCTAGATCCCACCTTTTCTGCTGTGGCTAGCTTTGAGTGCTCCCTGCTCCTCACCAAGGTAAAGCCTTCCCCCTGGACACTGGATTTCAGTCTCCCTTTTACTGGAGGACAAATCCTGCATCAAATCTTTCCTTCTCTTCCTTACATCATTAGAATCCCTTGCATTATTAAACCAGCATACAAACATGCTATTCTCAGACCTTAATAAAACAATGACCTAGAACTTCTTTTGATGTCACCTGTACCTCCAGCTACCACCCCGTTTCTACCTGTTCCTTTACAGCAAAACAACTTGAAATTCCGGACTTGCTATCTACAATCTCTCTCCAACCCTTTTCTCTTGGACTTCTTCATGCCTTCACTCCCATCTTTTTCCACCGAAATGACTTTATCGAGCTCAGCCATGGTTCCCACTTTGCTGAATCTAAACACAGACCTTGAGTCAACCTTTCTGACTTAGCATTTGGCACAACGGATCACTCTCTTCTTGAAACATTTTTCCATAGCTACAAACTCACGTTTCCCCTTTCTTCTTAATCTCCTTCGCTGTTTGTTCGTATGCTTTTCATTGGGCTTTTCTCATTTTTCTAACCTCTAAGTGGTGGAGTATCCCATGGCTCAATCCTTGGATTTTGTCTATTTATATACATTCCCTGGGTGGACTCATAGTTTCATGGCTTTAAAATATCTATGTGTCAGTGATTTCCAAGCTGATAACTCCAGTCCGGACCTCTCCTTGGAATCCAGAGTCATACATGCAGCTTCCTCAGTAGTACATCCACTCACAGTTCGAATACGCCTTCCAAACTCAGCACATCTAGAACTGAACTCATAGCCGATGGCAATCCCATTCCAACACTGATTCAGACCCAGAAGCTTGGCCCAATCATTGATTCCTCTTACACCTGCCTCAAATTCACCAAGTCCCGGCTGACTGGCTCTCACCATTTCCACATTCCCACCTGCTTTAGCTGTCATCATTTCTCGCCTTGATTCTTGCAGTAGTCCTCCCAAGGACACACCCTGCTTCACCTCCTGTCACCTGTCAAGTCACATATGTTGTTGCACTGCTCAAAAGTATCCAGTGGCTCCCCATCGCACTCGGAGTAAAATCCAAAGTCCTTGCCAAAGACAATGCCTACAAGATCTGGCTCCCAGTTGTTTTTCTGACCCCTTCTCTTCCTACTCTCTCACGTAGCCACCTACTCAAGCCCCATCAGCCTCCTTCCTTTTCCTGAACACAGCTGAAAAGCTCCTTTGTGGCCTTTGCACTGGCTGTTCCCTCTGCCTGAAATGCCCTTCCCTTCACTTGCCGTATGATGAGGTCTTCATTTCCTTTGGGTCTTTACTCACACAACTCTATTTTTAATGAGGCTTTTCCATGAAATCCTGCTTGAAATATTAACCACAGCCTCAACAGTGTCATCCCATCCTGCTTTGTTTTTCAATAACAGAGGATACGTTTAATGTATTTTTCTCGTTTATTTCTCTTGTCTTTCTTCCTATCTAGAATGTTAGTTCTAAGAGGGGAGCCTTTTTATCTGTTTTGTTCATTCCTGAATTCTTAGCACTTGGAATAATGCCTGGCACACAGTAGGTACTCAAAAAGATTTCTTAGAGTGCCTAGGTGGCTCAATCGGTTAAGCGTCTGCCTTCGCCTCGGGTCGTGATCCCAGGGTCCTGGGATCGAGTCCTGCATTGGGCTCCCTGCTCAGTGGGAAGTCTGCTTCTCCCTCTCCCTGCCTCTCCCTGCCCCACTCATGCTCTCTCTTTCTCTCAAATTAATAAAATCTTAAAAAAAAAGCTTTCTTAAATATCTATCACTTGCCTTCCACACCTTATGTTATTCATCTTTTAAAGACTACATGTGCTACCTTTCCAATTATACCATAGCTCCTTGCAGATGAGAACAATTTCATTTAATCCTTTTTTTAACCTCCATAGTACTTTATATAACATTCATAAGGAACATTAAATACATGTTTATTAATTAACTGAATTAAAAAACCCACTGATAATATTCTAATTAGATAAAAGACAGAAACTTTGGGAGAGCTTAACTGCTGTACAGTGTCCTATCTCCCCCAAACCTGAAGAAATAGAGCAGCATCACATCTGCAAGAGGTCATAATATCTCTCCCTACCTCATCGAATTGTCATGAGCATCAAATCAGGTGCAAAGTTCTGGAAGAGTGTCACTGTTCTTATCGGTGCCAAGTGTAATATGCATCCAGCATCGTCTTTACTTGAATACACTATTTGAAAACCACAGTGCAGGTAACAGATATGAGAAGATCCACGGTGGACATGGCCTCACCCCGAATGCTGAGGGATTTACGGGTCGAAGCTCCCCCTGGAAACGGGCCACACTGCCACATTGCTTAATGAGATGGTGTCTGGAGAGGTGGAAGAAGGACCTGTGGGAAATTTTGCTTGGAATCTGAATTTTAAGTCTGACCACAAGTCTCAAAGTTTCAGTGGCTTCTAACTCTGGGGCTCCAACAAAGGAAGGAAGAAAGGCAAATCTTCCTACATCTCCACACCACTCCAAACACATTAGCAAGAGGAGAAAAAGACAGAAAAAGGTCAAGTGTTGAGGGATTTGTATGTTTGGACATCCAAGAAGACAAAAGAGGTCAATACAATGATGTGAGAATCTGGACAGAACTTAGAGACAAAGTTCATCGAGTTTACACAGACCATGGACAGGGCATGCTCTAAGGGAAAAAGGAAGGATTGCCTTCAGGGGCTTCCACAAATTTTTTTTTTTTTAAGATTTCATTTATTTATTTGACACAAAGATAGACAGAACCAGAGGGCACAGGCGGAGGGAATGGCAGAGGAAAGGGAGAAGCAGGCTTCTCCCTGAGCAGGGAGCCCGATGCCGGGCTCGATCCCAGGACCATGTGATCATGACCTGAGCCGAAGTCAGATGCTTAACCATCTGAGCTACCCGGGCACCCCCACAGATTTTTTTTAAAGCATTGAACACTAATATATTATTCTTCTGAACTTCTGTACATTTGCCTGGTTTGGGCACCAGTTCTCTTTCTCTCTCTCCTTCTCTCTTCCTCTGTATTTTTAAGAAACACACACACAAAGGCTATTGCAAAAGCAGTGCTCACTGACTTGAGTGGGGCTATGATTTGGCAGAACACTTGGGATACCAGTCTGTCTCCTTGGGGATCTATTTTACCGTTTTGCATCCAAGGGTGGTGGTAGCTTGACTCCCCCTAGCTCTGGCTAGAAGCCACTAAGATCTCCTTACACCTAAAGGAGCCATACTCTGTTCTGGATATATCTCATCACATTTCCTCAATCATTTCTGTCTATGGGTTCCCGGCCTGTTCTGAATCGGAACTTCTGACTAAGGTAAATTCTAGGATTTGATCCAATAAACATAACATCATTTACCCTTTAGTGACCGGTATTGTTAAGATATACAGAAAATATGGTATACAAGTTAAAAACAAACTCTGACATCAGCTGTTGCGATTTCAATCCCAAGTCCAATAGCATGGCTATTGTGTGATTGTGGGTCGCTCGCTTCTTTACTCTAGCTAAACAGTGGATAGCTAACCCTCTCTATGGCTTTGAGAGAGGGTGTTGGGAGGATATATGTTATGCACATAAAGCACTTGGAAAAGAGCCTGGGATCCAGTAAGCACTGCATAAATGTGTGCTCTTCTTATTGAATCTATTAGTAATGTCACCTGGACAGAGAATTAACCAACTCTATCTAGAAGCTTCCCGACTCCATTATTCTTCCATCCAGCCTCTGCTTAAGTCTGGGTGTGTCTACACATATGCATATGTATGTATACACACACACATACACACACACACACATTTTTTTCTGAGTTTCAGACATAATTGTACGTCAACCCAACTTTAGGATCCAGTGCCTAAAAATAGGATCAACTACTTAGCCACAGTAATATAATCACACCCAGGAAAATGTATAATAATTCCATAATATAATCTATCAAAATATCTAAATTTCTATATCCACATTTTATCAATAATAATAATTGATATCCTGAACTAATTTAACACATATTAATTATATAATATATAAAAATATATCTGTAATAATTTATATTCAAAATATTCATATTTCAGTGTCCTTAATTATACCAAGAAGTTTTTTTATGGCCCTTATTTTCCAAACAGGATTCAGTCAAGACTGATGCATTGCATTTGGGACTTAATGTCTCTGATAACTGCAAAAGGCTCCTCCAAAGTAAAATTTTTAAATACACCTTCCTAAGTCGAACTCCTGATGTGGAGAAATTACGGGACCCCTGGCTCAGATCTCTTTCTGTCTACTTCTGCTGCTCTTTACGCAGCTCAGAGGAACATCTGTTGTGGTTTCTAATGGGTGTATTTCCATTAAATGAAACCTCAATTGAAAGCAGTAACCTCAGGAGACCAGTCCCTACCCGTCTCAGTGCTAATGTTACCTGGGAACTTTATAGTCCCTTGTGCCTTCATTATTTCTGTTTTCTTTTTTTTTTCAACTGTTATTTTGGAGGCCCTTGTTCCCTCTTCCTTTGCCCTGTCCCCCCTTCCATCAGCCTGGCACCTCGCATCTCAAAGATGAGAACTGAAATCTGGTACGTTGGCCTGTCTTGTGTTCTGGCACTGGGGGTCGACTTCTTCCAAACCACCAGCCAACGAGACAGGGAGAGACATTATTTTTACTTCCAGATTATTCTAAACTGTACGATGAAGCTATCTGATGGCTCTGTAGACTTCTCTTTAATTGGACTGGTATCAGTGTAAGTCCTGGGTTCTCCAAATTCTTCTGAGCCATTTTAAACGTAAAGTTAGCATTTCCTCTTCCTGCTGAGAATGTCCAGGAGCTAACTGGACTGAGACTTCCCAGAGGAAAGAGGGTTTGGTTTGCTCCTTCCCAGAGGGTCACAGTGCTATCTATTGACACATTCCACAGCCTCATAAAAGCTGTCAGAGACTGCCCAAGAGAAACACCCGTTAAGTATCATGGTTCTTGATTTTTACAGCTACTAATAACTTTTCCCTTTGAGTTGGCTCAGAGCTTTGCACATAGTTCAAATAAACAAACAAACCAACAAACCTTATTTCTGTCTTGTCTACAAGTTTGCTGTGGGATCTCAGGGAAGTCACTTAACCCTTCTGATTGATAGCTTCTTTTTTGTTAGGACAAAAAAAAAAAATAGTATGGGCAGAGAAATCACTAGAGAATAAGGCTCTATGATAACAGTTGAACGGACCTAAAAAGGATTTAATTCGTGACTTCAAATTTTGACCACTTACAGTTACTTATAATGAGTGAGTTTTCAAACACTGAATTTCCGAAACAAAGTCACTTATCTAACCATATAAAACTTTCCTTAAGGATCAAAGATCACACAAAGAGCTTCAGGGTTTTTTTTGTTTCTGTTTTTGTTTTGTTTTGTTTTGTTTTTCTGTTTTTTCTTTTACAGGAAGCAAGCTGAGGTAAAATAGGAAGAATTTGAAAGGGAAAGAAATTTCTCTTTTAAATGCCCTGGAATCAATCATCTTTGTGTGGTCAAAGCAAATGTTCTAATGTAAGTTTTATTGCATCAAGTATATCAATAACACTTAAGCTCTGATCCAAAAGTTCTCCATCATTTTCCCTTAGGGACCTTGAGAACAAGATGAATTTATCTAGGTTTTGCCCAATAAAAATATTACCAGCTAAAATGTTTTAGTCCTCGGTTTCTAACATTGCAGAGCCTCTGTCTTGGCTGAATATTCAATTATACCCCGCATTCTTCATAGCTCCTTGGCAAATACTTTCCCACTGTTCTTTTGCAGCAAAATGTGCTTCACCCTGTTTTATAGAGTTCTGCCACCCTCCTGTTGTGTTCTGAGATTGACAGCAAAATAGCCCAGTGTTCTGGATGATTCTGAGGGTGTCACCATGTGGTGGATCTACTCCAGCCTTACCCTCCTCACCCCTATTGACATCCCTCACCCCGTTCCCCAACCTCAGCAGCTCTTTCTGCCATTTGAGAAAAGCTGGGAAGATCTAAACAGACTCTCAGGGTCTGGAAGGTTTAAAAACACGCACAGGGCCTATTTCCTAAATAGAGAACTTGAAACCTTAAGTTCTAAGTGACTGGGCTACTTTCAAAAGCAAAAGACAATATTTTATCTTAAAATTAAAGTTGACATAAATAACAGTGTTTAGAGAAAACTCTGTGCAAACGTCTAAAGCCAAAGGGACAGGCTGGGTCCTCGCTAAGGCCTGAGAGAGAACTAGGGGAAAGTCAGAGATTTCCTGTCTTTGTAATGAGTTTACTAATTAAATCTTAATTGTAAATCAAGCTGAGCAAAATTTAAATGAAGCGCTGGTGCCAGCAGCCAGGTTATTATGGTAGAATTGTTTATAAGGACGGGAAAGTGACTTTCTAAACATCAGATTCCTGTGCGTCAGCCAAGATTTAGAGGAAGTCTCCATGTGGGGAAGCACAGAAAGTAGCAGGATGAGTGACTTGGGCCTTGAGATAATTAAAGGACTCTGTCATGTCCCATGTCCTCTGCCTTCAGTCATGGCCAGAGGCTGCGATCTTTTTGTTTTAATGGACTGGAACAGCCACGTGTGCAGGAACCGGTGGGTTTTCCCCCATTTTATGCCAAACAGTCCAGCCATGTCAGCAGCGACAGAATGGGGATAGAAATGGAAATTCTTGTACTTTGTCAACCCCAACCGCTCTCTTGAAAAATAAGCCTTGCAAATATACAGAAGTCCAAGCACACAAGCGCAACAAAGCCGACATAATAGGAGAATGGGGAAAAAAAAAAAGAAAAGAAAAAGTTTTTTTATTTCCTCCTGGTGCTATTCAGGGGATTTAAAAAACAGGCTATAAAATAAATAAAAACAAAGTCCCGTGGCTATCTACATGGTTTAGGATAATTTATTTATTATAAGATGCGGGGAGTGAAGGATCCAAAGGCTCCTATTTTTGCTTTGTTGGTTTACATTCACTAATTTAAATAACTTGCCTTACAAATTTTCATTTTAGAGGCACTTATTAATAGCCAACTTTTTTTCTCTAGCCTCCCTATATACATGTTTTGCCATCAAAGTGCTCCATTTCCCTCACTGACCATTGAAAATGTGTCTAGGTACTGAGTTCCCTGGAAAGTACCCTCATGAGCTAGTGACATGTCACAGATTGGGAACTATGTGGGAAATATTCTGTCCAAATCCTAAAAGCAATTTGGTTCATAGAAGTGATGGCTGATACCCATGGTCCAAAGGTTTGGAGGTTGGTAGCCATGTTCATTAACATAATTCCATCCTTTATTCTTCCCTGCTCTCCAAGGAAACCACTCACAGGAAGGATGGGAAAGATCCTCTATCAGGTAAGAGGTTGAAATGAAAGAGGCAATGCAATTTTATAATATATATAATATAGTATGTAATTATCATATAATTTATTCCACTCATCTATGCAACATCTAAAACACAAAATGACTTTCTTATTCCACCAAAAATTTTTTTTTTTATTTTTCTGCTAGGCCTCCCCTTGGATCAGAGTAAGAGAAGTTGTCTTCAGAACAAATCATGGGACTAGACTCCCTCCCCTTGGTCAAGTGCCATAATCCCTACTCTTGGGTCTCAGCATCAGATGTAGCTGGCTTACAGGAAGTCATAATTCCAACAGGAGCCACATTAAACATGAATGCTACATGTCTCCACTCTTCACAAGGCTATTAAAGGGCTTAGAAGAAGGCACTGGGAGTATATAATTTATTATTAGTGTTATTGTCATTTTGACCTTTTAATCCAAAAGGAAAGAACCCAAGGAGAGCATCCCCTGGAGGGCTGTATAAAACAAGCTTCTTCCATCTCTAATTTCTTTGAGTCACTTTCTCAATTATCCCCAAAGAGAATTTTAAACTATCTACTATTTATTTACTCAGTAAACTTAAATTGTTTTTATGGACCTTTTCCAAAACTCCCAGTTGTTGTTCCTTTGTTTTGTTTTTAATAGGAGCCAGAGCCCAACGGGAGATTTACATAATAAAGCCTCATTTCATCTTTGAAATCTTTTGAGGCGATTTTGAACTATGGTACAGCTCGTATCTCAGAAACACAACTTCTTCTTAGCTTTGCCATCTCCCAGGTAAATGCTATGCTAATGGCAAGGTAAAAATTGGGATGTTTTCAGACTGACTGCCGGTGGGTGCTATAATCATCAGTGGTTCCTGAAGAAGAGCTGCCTTGGCCCCTTTGGTTTCTAGGATGTTCTTCAAGAGAGAAAAAGCATAAATCATTTTAAGTTTCATCACAGGGTCAGAACTTTGGAGCCACCTGATGTGGCTTTTGTCTGGAAGTTGTTGCATGTACTTCCGTGTTTGTTCTTTTAAACCGTTGTCCAGCAAAATCTATTCTTGAGCCTTGCCACCATTACCAATGCCAAGCCAAGAACCAAGCTGGCCTCCCGATGCCTTTCTAGGGAATCAGCCAATTCTAGGAACCCTCAGAGCCATAGAATACTAGAAGGACTAGAGTGAGCTTAGTCTCCTACATTTTGAAAAAGATAAAAGGAGGATTTGACTGGCCCAGAGTCCAACTGCACCCTAACACTATAATCCTACCCAGAAGCTGGGTCTTGGTATCACCCCACCAAAGGCCTCGTCCTTAGGCTTTGCTAATGGTCTAGCTTTCGTAGGCTAAAGACAACTTCACAGGACTCACTGGTGTTATGATAGGCATCAGGAAGCCTTCTTTTATTGAAAATGTATTTAGTGTGGGACAGAATCCAATTTCCTACAACATGTAAATTACCTACGCTGAAGTACTTGTACGTATAAACTTATAAGGCCTTCCTTTACCTTTGGGTTAACACAGACGTTGGTGCATGTTAAGAGAATTTAAATATTATTTACTTTAATGCCTTAATTTTACAGGTTAAAAAAAAAGAGAGCGAAAACAGAAGAAATAGCCGGTATATGGCAGAGACATTTTGACGCTTCCTCCACAATTCCTTACATGATTATGTTCAGAGAGCCCAGAAATTAGGAAGAAGCCATATACATGTTTTACTTCAATGGCTTAGTCCCAGGGTCAACCGGTGAATGGGGATGGCATGATAATATTTGACATCCGGTTTCGGGGGGACTTTGTTTCATTAAAAATTGATTTTTTTTCCCAAT